CTGAGAGCTGAGGGAGCTCCTGACCCTATTTTTCCTGGGGGAAATACTTCATCCCTCTCTGACCTTCACATGTCTCCATGCCTGCAGTGCCGATGGGGAGTTCGCTGTGACCCACATGACAAAGGCCCACCTCTTCTCCAATGGGAAGGTGAAGTGGGTGCCACCTGCCATCTACAAGAGCTCGTGCAGCATTGACGTCACCTTCTTCCCCTTTGACCAGCAGAACTGCAAGATGAAATTTGGCTCATGGAGCTACGACAAGGCCAAGATTGATCTGGAAAACATGGACCACCATGTGGACCTCAAGGATTACTGGGAGAGTGGCGAGTGGGCCATCATAAATGCCATCGGCACCTATACCTCCAAGAAGTATGACTGCTGCACCGAGATCTACCCTGACATCACCTTCTGCTTCGTCATCCGTCGCCTCCCGCTCTTCTACACCATCAACCTCATCATACCCTGCCTGCTTATCTCCTGCCTGACTGTGCTAGTCTTCTACCTACCCTCTGACTGTGGGGAGAAGATCACCCTCTGCATCTCCGTCCTGCTGTCCCTCACCGTGTTCCTGCTGCTCATCACAGAAATCATCCCGTCCACCTCGCTGGTCATCCCCCTCATCGGAGAGTACCTCCTCTTCACCATGATCTTCGTCACGCTCTCCATCATCATCACTGTCTTCGTCCTCAACGTGCACCACCGCTCTCCCAGCACCCACACGATGCCACGCTGGGTGCGCAGCTTCTTTCTGGACTTCATCCCTCGCTGGCTCTTCATAAAGCGTCCCCCAGTGCTGCCTCCCCCTGAGGGGACCGTGGGGCCGTACGACCTCCCCGGGACAAGGCTCAGCACCTCCCGGTGCTGGCTGGAGACCGATGTGGATGACAAGTGGGAGGAGGAGGAAGAGGAGGAGGAAGAAGAGGAGGAAGAAGAGGAGGAAGAAGAGGAGGAGAAGGCGTACCCCAGTCACATATCCCAGGCAGGATCCCAAAGCCAGGGCAACAAGTGCTGCTATAGCTGCGGGCAACAAGCCAGGAAGACATCAGGGGGTTTGCCCCCCCGGGGGCCCCCCAAGAGGGAGGAGGAGCAGGAGGGCTCAGACCAGGGGCTGCTGCTGTCCCCCAGTGTCCTGAAGGCCCTGGAAGGGGTGCAGTACATCGCGGACCACCTGCGAGCAGAGGATGCTGACTTCTCGGTGAGTGGGTGCACCTGAGGGCTGGAGGGAAAGGGGGGTGCCCCACCCTGGGTGCTGCCTCCTGCCACATGTACCTCCATGGATGGGGGCAGTGCTGGGATCCTCGCTTGGTTCCCTGGATACTGAGGACCCAAAGCCATGGAGAAGATCAACAACCACCTCCTGGGAGATGCCCAGTTGAGGGCTCCTCCAGCTTCCATCCCTGCTGGCTGTGGGGATGTTGGAGGTCCTTCTTCTGCCCGTGGTATCCTGCCCTTAGGGAGCAGAGATGGCCCAGCCTTCCTGCTGGGACACTGCTTGGAGGCTGTTTCCCTGCTTGTTCCCAAGTGGTTTCAGAAAGCCCTGGGTGGGATTAGCTCTGGCCCAAGCAGAGAGGTCCATCCCTCTGCTTAGATGCTCCAGGGGTTTCCCAAGACACGGGTATCTCCTCACCCTGAGGCACACAGCAGATGCAGAGGAAGCCCAGGGTGGTCTCCTAACCCCAAGGGGTCCTGCATCCCCTGCCTGTGCTCACAGCCCCTCTCTGCTCGGCAGGTGAAGGAGGACTGGAAGTACGTGGCCATGGTGATTGATCGCATCTTCCTCTGGATGTTCATCATCGTCTGCATGCTGGGCACTGTGGGGCTCTTCCTCCCACCCTACTTGGCGGGGATGATCTAGGGACTGGGCCGAGCTGCAGTGGGGACAGTGAAGAGTGGTGCCCACAACCAGCCTGACCCTCACCTCAACCTGGGAGGGCACGGTAGCAACCATGGAGGACCCTAAGATAGGAAATGTAGACTGAAGCAGGGGCTGCGCCAAGGGGATGGTGAGCAGGGCAGTTGCAGCCATCCTGGCATTGAGGAAGGTGTGGTGCAGCTTCCTCAATGCTTGAGTGCAAGCTGGAGAGGCATCTGCTTCCTGAAGCTGCTCCTAGTCCTACCCAAAACCCAAGAGCTGTGTCCGGATGTGACTCCAGTGTGCTGGCCAAGAAGAGGGGACCTTACAGCTGCTTTAGGATGCATCCTGACTGCAGGATGTTTAGGATGACAGGCTTGTGGGGCCACCCATGATGTGGGGCAGGTGATAAAGCTTCAGATGGCACATGCAGAAGGGGTATAGTCCCGGAATGGAGGGCCCTGCTCAGACACATGGCTTGGGGATCTCTGCTCTGCAAAGCCCAGTGCAGGCACAGAGGTTGCTTCCACGTTATCCCACTCCGGAGCTCAGTCAGATCCCAAACCACCTGGCTGTGATGACTGCTGAAATCCAGCTTTTAACTTCTAGGTCTCATATACCCTGAAGGACCCACGCTTACCGAGCATCTACTCTCTTCTTATATGCCCCAAGAGACACCAGCTTTTCCTGCAATGTTTTCTCATCCAGGAGACCAACCTGTTGCTGTGCTGGATGCAGTCTGAGGGTTTTGAAAATGCTGTGTTTTCAGGATTGAAATGGGCTGGAATAAACAGTGCCACACAGGGACATCCACATCCTGAGGGTGTTGCAGCCACTCATGCAGCCTCCAGTGCTGGCAGGCTCAGGTGTGCACAACTGGGTATGGGATATTGTCCTGGGTTTAGCTACAGCATTTTTTGAACTTCTTAGTAGCTGGTGCAGTGCTGTATTTTTGACTTTCAGCCTGGGAACAACGCTGATAACACCGATGTTTTCAGTTGTTGCTCAGTAATGTTTACTCTGATCAAGGACTTTCTCAGTCTCATGCTCTGCCAGGGAGGAGGAGAAGCCAGGAGGAAGCAGAGACAGGACCCCTGACCCAAACTGGCCAAAGGGGTATTCCATACCACAGCACCTCATGCCCAGTATAGACACCGGGGGGAGTTCCCCAAAAGGCCCAGATCGCTACTCGGGTCGGGCTGGGTATCGGTCGGCGGGTGGTGAGCAATTGTATCCTCTCCCCTTGTTATTTCCCTTATCATTATTATTGGTAGCAGCAGTGGTTTGTATTATACCTTAGTTACTGGAGAGCTGTTATCTCAACCTGTGGGAGTTACATTCCTCCAATTCTCCTCCCCATCCCTCCGGGAACAGGGGGAGGAAGGAAGATGCAGGGGGGAGTGAGCGAGCGGCTGCGTGATTCCAAGTTGCCAGCTGGGCTTGAACCACCCACAACAGATGTGTGAAGGAGCAAGTGCCCAGGCATGGATGGGTGTGTGTGGGTATATGTGTGTGTTTAACAGTCCATGGGCTGTAGTGCTCTGCAGAGCTGGGAGTTCAGGGAGGGGATTCTCCCCGTCTGCTCCGCTCTGGTGAGACACTCCCCTGCAGTTCTGCATCCAGATCTGGGGCTCCAACATAAGAAGGACATGGAGCTGCTTGAGTGAGTCTGGAGAAGGCCATGAAGATGCTCCAAGGGCTGGAGCACCTCTACTATGGAGACAGGCTGAGAGACCTGGGCTCCAGGGAGACCTCAGAGCAGCTTCCAGTGCCTAAAGGGGCCAACAAGAAAGCTGGAGAGGGGCTTTTGACAAGGGCCTGTAGGGACAGGACAAGGGGGAATGGCTTTAACCTGACAGAGGGGAGACTGAGATGAGATCTCAGGAAGCTGTTCCCTGTGAGGGGGCGTAGTGTCTCACCACCCTCGTAGTGAATTCCCCATCGCTGGAAATGTTCAAGGCCAGGTTGACAGGGCTTTGAGCACCCTGCTCTAGTGGAAAGTGTCCCTGCCCATGGCAGGGGCTTGGAACTAGATGAGCTTTAAGGTCCCTTCCAACCTAAACTACTCTGTGATCCACAACCCTCATACGAATTGTGGGTTCAACAGGAGGGAAATGGAGCTCCAGAGAGGACGTGGATGCAGCAGACCCAGGTTCACCCCAGCAGCTCTCCCAGGGATGCTGCCACCAGGATATCACTTTCCCATGATGGCAAGACAGCTCAGAGCTCCGAGCAGCACAACCCTCACTCCTTCCAAGGAGGTGCTGGTGACCAGGGGACTTGTCCCCACTGTATGGGTGCGACAGGCAGGCGCAGGCACAGCAGGACTTTGTGCATGGTTTATATCAGCTGGAATGAACAATGTTGTGGGAAGATGCTGGGGAAAAGCCCGAACTGTACGGTTTCCAATTCAAAGCACAAACCGAACAGAGACTTGGTTTGCCATCATTGCTTACACAGAGCAGCTTGGAGAAAACTCAGCTGGAAGAGGCACCGCTCTCCTGGTTTGTGCCACCGAAGGCTGTGGTCCACGGGGTCCCATCCCTCCCCATGCTCTGCAGGTTTGAGGCCGGGCGTGCTCCAGCCACGGGTGCTGGAACCGGCTCCACCGCAGCGCGTGGACCCACTTCCCATCATTAAATAGACTCTTCTATACAATGTACAAGGAAATGCAAACAGTCCCTCCAGCCACCGCTCCAGTGGCCCCTGGGACCTCCTCGCAGCTCCCCACTCCCAGCAGTGAGGAGCGGGGTCCAGGTACCCATCAAGACATGCCGCCCGCGGCCGGCCATCCTTGGAGGGGCTGACAGACAGACACACGGACCTGCTGGCAGCTGGGGAGCAGAGCTGCCGAGCTAAAGGGATCTTCAGCCACCCTTCAGGATGGCCAGGTCCCCCCACAGCCCCTTCCATTCACCAGATGCCTCCCTTCTTCAGAAGACCAACGAGACGATGCTAAAGACACG